ACAATTTCTTCGAGGGCCATTTTTCCACATAGTTCAATGGCATAGCCATTGCGCGGTTTGAATAACCTCAACACAGGGGGTGAAGTCCAGGCAAACTGGCATGGTGAAATGGTTCCATCCCCATTAATGGACACCAACATAGGTGAGACCTAGGTTGGCCAGGTGAGCCCAGGAACTGTCACACAAGTGGATGGCGCGGGACACTGACGCCCATTCACAAAAGGAGCCATTTTCGATGACGACAATGGATTGAGTGGGGGAGCCTGTCACGGTCTGACACAGGCTTAGCCTTGCCTATGCTTGGCGGGCTTATGTTAAGGGACACCATCATCACTTTCGCCTATAATATTTTTGGGAGAATTGATGTCATCTTCAGACAGACTTCTAAAAGCTTAACGTACTCTTTGAGGAGGGGTAGTCGACCTCCTTGGGTGCCTAACTTTGGCACTCCTAGACCAACATCCCTTGCGGGGTGGCCCTAGTTAATGGCTAGCATGGCTACCAGGGTTCCTCATGGGCGCACACATGCTCATGGGGACAGTGCATGGACCCGCATTGCTCCACCGACACTCAAGGGAGGCTTGGCATGCGAGCCTGGCCTAAGCATGACCCTTCACCACGCTAGCCCCTTGCCCAAGCTGAATGAGCTATCCCGTTGCCCATAGCACATGGGTGTGTTCCGGCCCAGCAGTTGCCTATCATCATTGGCACACAGGTGCCTACACCATCGGCATACAGGAGACCCTTTACATCGGCGCCAAGTTGCCTCACATCATGACCTTCCCTCTTTAGCATGTAAGCGATGCTTCCCATGGACCGGCTAGAGCCAGTAGAGAGCCCCGACCATACGACTTGAGATTATAATACAGTGCTACCGAACTTGATGGAATCATCTTATCGAGCAACTCCTAACTCTAAATATACAAAAGACTTGTCCTGACCTGCTTTGACTTGAACGCCACACAAGTTCCTTTGAGTGCAGAACTACCCCAGTGACACGAGGGCTCCCAATCCCTTGGCAGTCCTCTTACCATAGAAATCGAACTCACGTAGACATCGTTCTCCCATTTCCTCACACATACGATTATTTACATAAGAATCTACAATAAAACCCTTTCATTTCATAACTTTCTTAACAAAACCCATCACTTACTCTCTAATAAGATAATTATGTTTTTCACAAAAAATAAAAGATTAAAACTCTCTCTCCTCGATCCCCAATACTTAAATGTTTTTCCTTACCCCATTTTAAACGTCTTATTTCCTCTTAAAGTATTAGTTAATTAAGAGCCAACCCAAGACTAGCCTAAAAATTACCCTGGACCCAACATATGTCAAAGTCCCAAGTTGCCAGCTCAAACCTAACCATTTTTTTTTTGGTTTTATTTGATTGATCACTTTCTTTGTCAGAACCTTCCACATGCATAGCCATTAGTCTTGGCTTTGCGCAGAGGACCATATCACATCAGTTGTCTATCAGTCGTGTCGTCACTAATTGATGGGAGTGCGATTGGGTTAGGTGAGGCAACCTTAACCAATCTGATTATCGGGTTGGGCTTTGGTTGGATGAAATACTTGGAAATTTTCATATTTTTGTTTTTGAAGCTAGCCCACTCACGATTAAGTAATTAATTTTGACAGTAAAAGCTTAACAAATATACATACACATAGGCCAGAATATCTGAGCACTTAATCCTGACCTGACTTTCAACCCAATCGTATTTATAAAGTTGAATTGTTTTTATTTATCTTTTTCAGATCAGAAATAAAAAATAGTTATCATTTATTATAGCCTGTCTGACCATATATTTTTTATGAAACAAAAAGCATTCACTCCCACCCATCTCTTCTAAGCTAAAAAACAAGACTCTCATTGTCTAGTCTGTTGCTGTTAGCATTTCTTGTCCAATAAATGGAAATTTCGACAGCAGTCCTCTTGCCATGCAAATTGACGAAGTCGGGGAAAATAAAACGAAAAGAAAAGTTTGTCCTTTAATACAAGTAAGTGCCTTGCACATGCAAGACCGGCGCGTCTAGTATATACAAAAGCAACCGCAGACTTGCTGTATTGGCACTGCACATATGACGTGAGTACGAATTAATGAAGCAATTTTACAATTGAATCATGGGTTGGAACTTGGAATGGAAGAATCCACTCAACTCATTAGGTTCAATCTAGATAGTCTGTTGGGGTGTACCAAATAGGATGTACCTCCAATGCTACACTCCACATTAGCTCAATATCCAATCTTAAATTGAAATCAGATTTGCTCACTCACAGATCATGGAGCGTGACTGGGAGCATCTTTTCATAAAAACCCCTAAAATTCAATTATGGGATATAATTTCGATGCATGGCTTAAATCACTGTCAGGTTGGTGTCACATTTTGATAGAAAAATAAAATAAGAACAACAACAAAAAATCCAAGGGAAAGTTAAAAACAAAACAAAAAAAAAAATTGCAAGTTTCTTTAGAACTTTGCGTCAACTTTCTTTCTATTTAAAAATTGGGTAAATTACAATAATTTTGAAGACCCTGGGGTCAATGACAAATACCCTCTTAGCTTTCATTTGCAACAAACACCCTTTGAACTTTTACTTTCTAACAATTACCTTGATGGTTAAATCAAATGATAGAATGCGTTAAATTACCAAAATGCCTACATAAACTTTTCTTATTTTATTTTTATCGCCCTTTTCTCTTGAATCCTATTTGACAAAAAAACCCCTCCATTTTTCCAAACAAAACCAATTAAAATAACAAGAATCATTTCACTGGCATAAAAAAAACAAATGTTTTAAAATTTTGATTCATTTCACTCACATGAATGTTTCCCATCATTTTAAAATATAAGAATTATCCTTTCCTTTCTCGAATAAACCAAATAAAACCTTAAATTTATACCATTTAGTCATAAATCTGTAAGGATCTATTGGAGTAACTGAGAGGACTCCAATGTTGTATTTAGACAAGTAATCAAATCATAAATCATTTAAACAAACAAGAAAATGGTACTTTAGAGATTTAAAAATTTGATTGCCCGACTCTCACAGGCTCGCTACGTTTACTGTTACTCTTAGTTTGTGATGGCCACCAACCGAGGGCTGGTTTGTTGGTGTGTTAGCTGGTTTGTTTTGTATTGTTGCAGAATCAAATCCCACAACCAGCACTATGGGAAAAAAAGGGTCAAGAGGAAGTTATTAATGGAAAATAGTATGTGATGGCTTAAAAAAAATATTGTATCTCAGATCTTTCAATCAATTATCCACCATCTTTGAAGTTGGGAGTAAGGCTGTCAATAGATCAGGTGGGCCTGAAGAACCAAGCCGAACCAATCCTATTATACAAGGTTTAGGGCTGCCATCTACGTTATGTTATGCTCCGATTATAATTCAGTTGAACCAATTAAGACCCAAATGTTTAGCATATTGAAAAAGAAACACTCCTTGTCTCAATTTAACAAGTGAACCAAATTTTGGCAATAGCGAATAGAGCTCAAAATTTGTTGTCAAATTCCAAAGGTTACATGAAGAAAAGCGTAGAATGAATAATAATCAGAAAAGTATACTACACCACACCGCAAAATTATGAATTCCACTACAATTTTATACAACTCAAAATAACAAATACCAATATCGTTCTTATATTGCCATCAATTCCAAATTGATACTTACCCCAAATGTACGATGAGACTATGAATTCTTAGGGTGAACTGAACAGCCATTCTTCCAATAATTATTGGGTATAATCGAGTAAAAACATGAGAAATCTTAGGGATGATGATGGCTCATGGCCCGGATTTTTGCAGGGCAATAATGGCCTTTAGGGCTGCTCGGTCTTAAAATAATTAGTTCGATAATGGGACCCTCTACGCTTTGGTTTGGGTGAATGCACAGGCCTAAATCAGATGATTGAGTCAATCAACCGCTAGGCTTTAGGGCTGCAAGTAAATCGGATTTGAATCTGAATTCAGAATTCAATTCGTAAGAGCCGGATATGGATACCTCCCCTGATCCTAATAAATCGGATCGGTTGGGAAAGTCAACCCGCTTAATTAATGGATCAAATTAGAGTATATCTCATGAAATATTATATATTATGTCACCAAATTTTTTTTATCAAAATTCAAGTTAAAACGGATACCTTACAAAATATTTTTCACTGGCGAAAATTCAATGAATTGTTGTTTGATTCAGGTCGGTTAGATATTTTGTCAGATTTGATCATATATCCATTTACAACCTTATTAGGCTTTTCGGGAGGTCCCCATTATTTGATATTTTTTATAGGTTGAACATTTTATACAGTGTTTGGTATTTTGGCCATTTTCCACTTTGTTTGATCTCGAAATGCTACATCAGTATTTTGAAACCGGCTGAATTTGGTTCTGGAATGCTAAAATTCATAGATTTTTGAAACACATCAAAATCTCATGTTCCAAAGCGCATCACCCTTAGGTCGTGTTTGATTGCAATGCAAATAAATTTGCACTGATACAAAATCATGGCAGTGCAAATAATTTAAGTGTAAGTTTTGATTTATTTTTATTTTAAAATTTAACTTATTTTGTTTGATTACAGTAAATTAAGACATGAAGTAGAACAAAGTAAAATCCAAAACAAAATTAAACAAGAATTTACATTTGCACTCCCATGCATTTGTGCTAGTATAAATAAGTTTGCACTGGAAACAAACACAGCCTTAAGGACATTTGATAAACATGATTTGGTAAATACACCACAATATGTATCAGCCCATATAAATATAAGTATCAATACTTTTTTTGGGTAGAAGTATATCATAAATAATTAAAAACTTAACTAAATATAAACATGTATTTTTTTTAATAGCAGTCCTTACTTCTCGTGATCCTTTCTAGGAAAGATTAAAGTTGTGTTTGATTTGATGAAAATTTAGAAAGCAACAGTTATAAAAAATCACAAAATTCCTTAAATCTTTCTTTGCTTGACTAGTTTCCTTTTCACTTTGAAGGAATGGTTTGAGGAATCTGATACTTCCAACTTTCATAAAGAAAAGGCAAGGCATAAATCATAATGCCGAGCAAATTTGAATCCAGATCCTTTCTTAACAAAAAGGCCGCACAGCTTCCATACAACTTTCTATAAGATGCTTTCTTTTTCAAACCAAAGAAACGATACTGAAATTCGATGCCATATCACCCAAATTCAAATTTAGATTCCACACCTCCTCTAATATCTATCATTATTCATTTACCAACCTCAAAATCCCATCCCCTTCCCCCAATTTTAAAGAAAATAAATAAATAAATAAAAATCCAAAAACCTACTACCCTATTTACAACTTATACCATTCCAATTTCCAAATTTCAAACCGAGGCAGAAATGAGAAAACCCCTAAAAAAAAAGGTCACAGTAATAATCAGTTAATTACAAAGTTGTGACGTGACGACAAATCCAATCAAAACGTTGTGGAAATGGAACCCGACTCGTTGTTTGCGTAACCACCGAATCGGTGACGCGCTCGACTCGTCACCCCCAACTCCAGCACGTCCTCCCAGTCCACCTCCTCATCCTCTTCTTCATCTCTCCCTCTCATCATCTGCAACATCCTCTTTGCCTTCTCCCTTGCTCTCTCACTCCCTCTGTCTTCCACCTCCCTCAGTACCTCCATAGCTCCGGCTTCCTTCGCCAATCCCTTAAACCTCAGACTCCCTTGGCTCAGCGCGTACAACGCCGCCACACAGTTCTCCCGAGTCGCTTCCGATTCCAACTCATGCCTCCTCAACATCCCCACGAAGCACTCTACCGCATTGGCGTCGAGCATCGCCGTGCGTCCCTCCATACACACCGCTAAATTGCACAATATGAGCAATGCACGGCTTGCCAAATCCCCCGTGCTTGCCAAGGCTAACAGCGTCGGGATGGAACCCATTTTCACAAGTTTTGTACGATTGCTCTGAACGAGTGAGAGGTGATACAACGCCAGCGCCGAGTCGTGCCGAGCCCGCTGGCTCTCGGATCGGAGCATGTGAAGAAGCGGCTGCAACGCCCCTAACACCCCTATCGCCATTTTGTTGTCGTCTTCGAGAGCCAAGCTGAAAAGGGCACCCGCCGCGTGCTCCTGTGCTTCTGCGAATCCACCTTTCAGCACGTCGATCAACGGCGGGACAATTCCCGACCGTACGATCTTTACCTTGTTCATCTTCTCCAAAGACAGATTCACCAACGCTGCGACCGCGTTTATCTGAATGGCAGAGTATCGCGAGACCAGTAGAGGTCGCAGGGCTGACAGTAATCGAGGCGTACAGAGGGTATTCCTAATTTCTTCTTGGGTTCTAGTTACCTTTCTCAGCGAAATCACGGCTTCTTCCTGCTCGAATACCTGGCAACTCCTGAGCTTAAAGATAAACTCGTCCTCCTCGGATGAATTGGTGTTCGGGGTTTCGTCATCTGCGATAATCTCAGACGACGACGAAGAAGAGTAACAAGAGGGCCTAGTGGCAAGGGGTAGAGGTGTGCTGGGATTGGTCGTCGTCACCGATTCCTCCGACTCCGAGCTCGTGTAGAAGTGAGTCCGTCGACGATTTACCTCAGTCTCCGCGTGAGTAAATTTGACCGGAGGATTCTCTGCAATCCCTTTAAGCAGCTCTTTCTCAGAAGCCCCTAGCTTGGCATCCTCTTCTTTTTCTTCGTCTTCTTTGTTGTTTTTGCTCCGTGATTTTTCGTCTTGAGACGCTATTAATGCACGAACAAACTTCTCTGCCGACCCATGCTCCATGGGCTTAGGGCATTCGACGCCAGAAGTATCACACCATTTGAGAATAGTCGATTTCAATGCGATGTTGGGAATTACCGTAGAGAAATCAGGTTTTGAGCCGTCGGAGAGGATCGGTGTAAAACCCAAGTTTTTACAAGCTTGAACGCAGTTCCGCTCGAATGTCTGACCGGAAGCAACAATTACCGGATCCGCCATTAACGACTCAGAAATAGGACACACGAATTCCTTGGGAAATTGCTTCATTTCGGCTTTCGAGATGCCAGACGAAGACCGGAAGGAGAACCACTTGTGCCTCCCACTCCCCATTTTTGCAACTAATCTTCAAACCTATTCTCTCTCTCCTTCCAGATTATTTGATCAAATCTTGAGCAACTCATCTCGAAATTCTTCTGAGAGAGAGAGAAAAAGTTTCGATCATGGACCAAACAAACAAAATCGACGAGATTCAATGAAGTCAAAGCAGTTGCATTTCTGAAGATATAAAGGATGTGCGTGTACCAAATACAGAAGGGAGTCTATGTTACCTTACATCTCTGACTGAGAGGGAAAGAGTTGGTGGTGCGCTGCTGCACACATCGGGCTGACGTAACCGTAGACAGACCAGGTCCCCGCCTTTTCTGCGTCTGCGAGTTTTGAAGAATAGAGCGGCGATACCTCTCTCAATAAGAATGAAACCACAGATTAGAATTCATTCCAATTTCCAACTTCGGAAGCCAACAATTTGATGACTTTTTTTTGAGTTTTGACTGAGCTACATCAACCTCAACCTCAAGTATTACTATTTACAGAAGGGGAAGAACGGCCACTGACCAGGTTTCGTTACTTATCCAAGTTCCAAATTTGCCCTGGTACCAGACTAAAATATAACGAAGCGTGACATTGATAAATGATAGTTGACCACACAATCACAGGGTCTCTCTTCTCCGGAGTCTGAGCCTCACAATTAGATCAAATAATTAATGTATGTCGTAGAAGTTAATCAGACTCAGAAATTGTTTATTAACTTAAAATAAAAAGGTATTTATGTGTATTGGCAATTTTATCCTTTATTTCACATATGCTGTTTTTCACCTTTTTTTTTTTTTATTATTGTATTGTATCGTACTTATGATTCACATCTTGTAAGTTTATAAACCCCGATGTGATGATATATATAGTAAGTTCTTAAAAGAAAGGTTGGATTCTGTTTTATTCATCGATTCTCTTTTTAATAAATTGACTTGGATTCCTATTTTCGTTCTGCATTTCATGAGTTAAGTTTGCTTCAATAAATTCCTTTAGGCTGTGTTTAATTGAGAAGAAAAGAGAGGAAAAAGGAAGGGAAAAGGTATATTTGTATTTGCACTCAATCATTTATATTTGAACCTGTGCAAATACAAACAAAGCCTTGGGAACAAAGGAAGAGTCCTGCCTTTCCTATAAAATAAACCTATCATTTTGCCAAATTGCCAAACTTAATATGAAAAAAAGTACAAATACAAATATATATAATTTAAAAATATTATATACAAAATTTTATATTATATATATTTGCATTTACACTCTCTCTGAACCGAATCATGCCAAACGATGGAATGAATAAAGTGGAGTAATGGGCACATGTATTTTTCACAAATTGGTGTGGCTTTAGAAAGAAACGGATAATATTTGAAGTAGGAAATATCATATGCGGTGTATCATGTATGGGCTTTTTTTTTATTATTTTTGTAGGGTAAAGCCAAGATTCCATTTGCCTTCCACCACATTCTCAATTATTTGACCACTAAAAAGCAACAACGCATTTCTTATTCTTTCTCCCCTCTGCAATAATGTATTTCAATAGGTAATACCCAAAAAAAACAACAATATATTTTAGTATATATAAATATAAATATATATTTTTTATTTTACTTACTGCTATTATCAAATGCAAAACCTGCATCTTTTTCGCCTTTCATTACCTTATTTTAGAGGCGAAACCGCAAAAGTAATACACTTTAAATAGTGCTTTACACTTGATCCTTGCTGGTTGGTGATTAACGATGAAGCATCAGTTCTGGTCCTTCTGGGTAGAGAGAGATTAAGGTTTCATATATAAAGAAAAATCATATGGGACACAGGGGCACCATGGTTCATATGCTAGTGGTCCCAGTGGATCAATTACTCCATGGCCATTGGTTGCTTACTCATTAAAGGTTTGTTTGGTTTGTAGTTGAAATTAGAATTAGAATGGTTTATTCCCATAGCCTGTTTCATTTCTAAGGGAGGGGCAGCGAATGGTATTCCCTCAAATGGGAGAATGTCATTCCTACAGGAATAGGAATTGGGATCTGATTTCGTCCAATCAAACCGTTGGAATTGGAATAACCCATTCGATTCCATCAATGCATTTACCCAAATAAATACATTTACTCAGATAAAGTAATTCCCAAAAAAACCAGGATTTACCGATTTAGTCTATCGGTTCGACCATGGTTTTCAAATTGCTTTTGACCCAAACAGCCAGACCATTAGACCCAAAAACCATTCAGGCAATCAGTTCCATTTTACTCCAAACCCGGTCCTTGGCCCAAAACCATTTGACCATTTTTATTTTAATTATTTTTAATTTTTGTTAGAACGGGCCATCTAACGGTCAAACCGTCACCCAAAAAAAAAGTGGCCATAATGGTTTCGATTCCAGGTCTTCAACACTGATGCTACCGGTGTTGATAGCGAGACATTCTTTTTTCCTTTTCCTTTTTTTTTTTCATTTTATACATGGCAATGGCAACCAAGTTTGGGCATCAAAGTATGACTTATTCCCTTTTATCTTCCTCTTTACCTATCAAATTTCAGCTCAAGGATATATGCCACGTGGCAATTTTATAAAGAAAAAATAAAATAAAATAAAATAATCCCACCAGAGCATATTCTGGAATTGCATGCCTAAGGCCCTCGAATCGAACTGCTTTATTAATGATTGATTAATTGTTACCCATTATATGGTTTTGGCTCCATTCCATAATCCATAGCATTGGTTTGAAAATCTTACACCCAAATATAATGCTTTTACACTAGGAAACGAGAATGCCACTTTCGTGATATCAAATCAGTGTTGATACCAAATGTCTTTATTTTGTTTGTGTTATGGTCAAATTGACAACCTGTGATGCACTGGTTCATATAACCTTTAAGTTGCAATTCATAGGATATGTTTTCTTATTCTGGTATCATGTGATATGTTTTCTTATTTCTTTGCTGGCATTTTCGTTCATAAAATTTAAAATGCTGGTCTCAATTAGGGTGTTCATGGTTTGATTAATCGAATTGTGAGTCTAATTTTCAAACCAAAACTGTTAATACTGGTTTTTGAAAAATTGATAATCAAAATTAAATCAAAGCTGATTGGTTAACTGATTGACCGGTTCAATTAATCTTTGGTTCAGTTTGTCATTTTTTTTGGTTTTTTTTATTAAATGTATCATAAATAAATATATAATTATATAATAAAACTTGATCACCCCTAGTCTCAAATTACGAGCTTATTTAGAGTCTGTTTGGTTAAATTCAGCTTTCCGGGGTTTTCATCAAACATGGTTTCCTGACTTTCCTGGTGGGTCTACCTTGCAAACATACTGGTTCAGCATTTTCTACAAGTACTTTAAATACTATACATACTTTTGATATTAAAAAATAATATTTTTCTATTGTCTTTGATAATGCTAACACTATTGATGTTACTATAAATATTTAAAAAATCAATTAAAACTTATTATTATGAAAAAATATTTTACAATAAATGCACATATCATATTTTAAATTTATGTGTCTAAGATGGTTTCAATATTGTTTCACACTATATTTCAAAAATTAGAAATTGCATTTTGTATATAAGATATTTCACATAAGTGGAATTCCATATATTCTATCTTAGTAACTTGCATCTCATATAAGGCAGTCCTTGTAATGATAGAATGCCTATTCGCAATGAAGGCTCAGTTTGGAAGGAGTACAAATACGAATTTGTAGAGTACAAAACCTTGTATTTTATATTATTTTCTATGTATTTGCATTGTACATATTTGTATTTATACTCTTTCCTAACTAAACCTAAATGAAAATTGATGATGATGGGAATATTGTGTAAAAGGATTTATAGATTTATGACCCAATTTTTTGTATATTACTTCGTCAAATATATGTAATTAGCTATTTTTTCACAACTAGAAATGAAGAATATTGGCATCAAATTATTGAAGTAATGAAGAATAAATTTAAAAATATTGGAAGCATTTCTCCTATATATTGTTTATATGCAATATTAGACCCTATGATTAAATAGGAAGGCATAAATACTTTAAATAATTGTTACTATGAGAACATGCAAATTGATGTTATAACAAAAACAAATCTTTATTATTTAAAATGTGTAATTTATATGAATTACAACGTAGAAAAAAGAAACCTTCACTACCACTATCTAGGGGCGCTAGTAATAGTAGTACATCTTTTGTTTCAGATAAATCATGGTCATAAATAAATAAAAACAAGCAACGATCAATTGCTATCTCCTTTTTCTCAAGTTAATTAAACGAACATTATTTTATTTGCAAAATGATTTCACGAGCTTTATGACAAGTGAAGAATTACAAAATTTTAATCTTTTTGGCTTACTAAAAAACATATGAACACAACTATTCTATGCTTGCCACCATGGCAAGGTTCAAAGTATTGACACGTATCAGCCTGTATTGGTCGATACGCCCCTATAGTGGGTGTATCGGGGTCTGATCGGTTCAGGGGGTGGAGGAGCCCTAAACCGGTATAAAAAAAAAGAATAAAAAAATAATATCGATTTGCCCGATACGCCCCTACCGGCATATTGGGCGTATCGATATTTTGAACCTTGTACCATGATACATGATTTATTAACCCCTTTGCATCTAATATTCATAGTTTGCATCGAGGTCTTGTTTTATTGCTAATAACAATGTTTTAGATGATAAAAGGGCCCATAATGAATGGGATTCTAAAAATGTTTGTTTCAAGGATTAACTAGATGCAAATGATAGATTACAAGACCAAGGAGGACATAACACTTCATCTATTGAATCACCGAAAGATCCAAATGATGCTCAAGGAGGAAATGGAACTTGAAGACCTAATAATTGTACAAGATTTTTAATACTTGTAAATTTTGATTTTCAATTTTATTTGTAATCCAAGTCACTTTTGATTTTTTTTCCAATCCCATTGTAAACTTTTATTTTCAATTTTATTATATCTCTTTTAGTATTTCATTCCCAATTTCCTATTCCATTATAATTGTTTTCAATTTAATTTTATTATTTCGTATATGAACAATTATATATTAAAACTCATATGAAATAGAATTTTATGGTTTTTTTTCATTTAGTTCTCTACTTATCTTAAAATAACTATTATTATTATTATTATTCAATATTTTTACCTTAAAAAAGTTAAATGGACTGACCCAATAGCTCACCATATTGGACCACCCTTTTAACTGTTGTGTCATGCCAACACAGACAACCTTGGTGATCGGCTTCGGTCAGGGCAAGCCCGTGCTCACACCGTCCCAACGGCCTCCCGCAGCCTTGCCGAACTCACTGTGGTGCAGGTGACACAACAAACCCGTGCACCTATAAAAAAAATCGAATCATTAAGTAGATTAGCGACAAAATCAATCTCTAAAGCAGGGCTGGTCTTGGTTGCTGAACCTTAAGGCAGGTTTTTTGCTCAAATAGCAAAGGACTGTCAGTGTCTGAAAAACAACCAATTTCCTTTTTAAGTTTCTTGCATGTTTTTCTGCACCGATTAAAGTGAAACTTTGAATATCTCTCTCTCTCTCCTGGTAAAATCACCATTTGTGATTATTGACAGACTTCTACGATTTGCCCGCCAATTTGTGATTATTGACAAAATTTCTCCACATAAGCACTTTTATTAATGATCACTGAATGGCCAAACTACCCTTCAATGGCCATGTTAGAAAAGTTTGGTCATGTAAAATAATTCAATTTTCACCTGAGCAACTTTTATTAATGATCACCGACTGTGATGCATGGAAAAATATAAAAACCTCCCCTAAAATTTCTGACAATCATAATAACTATCTATAAGATTTTACTTTAACATAAAAACCTTCCCTATAATTTCACAAGGACCTGCAGTTGACCCCTTTCCTCTTTGTCCCTGTAATTATTAGGGCATCTTTCAATATAATTCAAAATGTCAAATTTGTCCTATATTTTAAAAGACCTAACATTTTCTTAAGAGTAAAATAAGTTTATTCTTCACTCTTGACGAATTTTTTAGTTAAAAGTGAAAAACTTCTTTGGAGGGTATTTTAATAAATCTTCATATGAATTGATACATATACGGGTAAAATGGATCCTTCTGAAAAAATAATGCACTTGGTAAACATTTTCGTCCAAGACAATAAAATTGCAAAATTTTCAATACTATAGGAGAGACTTGTGTGAAAATGAAACGGGAAGGTTTTTATGATTGTCAGAAACCTTGGGAGGTTTTTAAATATCACATCATTACCCTAGATAAATAGGGTCACTGAACCGCTAAATAATGTACATTAGGCAATTTCCTTTGGTTTAAACTTCAAAAATTATATGGCTTATGCTCTGCCAAATTATCAAGGAACTCACGTCCTCTGAATCTGTGCAGAATTTTCTGCACCAAACCAATATCAATCTGTCACGCCAGCCTATCCTTCCATTAAAATCATTTTTTCCAGATGATGTGGCAGATTACTATTGGTTGGTGCAGAAAGATGTGAAAAGCAAAAGATTGTTTCGACAAAAAAAAAAACACTGGTGACAACTGACAAGTATCCATGCATATCAAGAATGCTATTATGGTCAAAACCCTGATACACCCTCTGTAAGAGTGTATCGGGAAGCTCCAGATAGGATACGTGTTGACTGATACGTGTCAGATACTTGAACCTTGATCATGGCATATATCCATTTCCAACCTGATGCACTTTACGGTACTTTGATCCTAGACATGGACTGGCATGGCAGAATTCAACAGAGAACACAATTCAGTAATGGTTGTAAACTTGATTATGCGAAGCTGATAGTCTGTACAACCTGAAAACTTTACAATTTTCTTTATCAAATGCATTTCATATGAATTAGATTGGACGAACGGGCTGAACATCAACCCGTCTTCCTCTCTAGCCAGATTCCTACAAATATAATGGCCATGTACACCGAGAGAGAGAGAGAGAGAGACCAAAAAAAAAAAAAAGAATTAAGGTGACGGCATCAAAATCGCGAGCCCATGGACTCTTTTAACAATATACACTCTGTACACTGACTGCAGCTTGCTTCAGCCATTAAGCTTTGCTAGGAATTGGTTGAGATTGTATTCCTCTGCATACTGTGACTGGTCCCAAAGCTCCTCTAGTCCACCAAGGATGGCTTTCAACCCTTTCCCCCCACCTATTGGTTTTGAGTCTCCGTCAAAGTTGCCATCTGAACTCTTTGAAACAGCAGAACCCTGGTTCATCCAATGGAAATGGATTAGTTATGTCCAGAAAAACATGGCAGTTTATACTTTCTATGAGAAAGTCTGAACTGCATTAATTTAGATTTTGTCAGAGCTGCATTTAGTAATTGTGGACCAAAATCACCTTTCTGCTGGCCTGTGCGGGTGTGAATAGATCAAGTAACTGGTCCGTATTCATTGTTTTTAGACTAGTGTTCTCAGCATTTATGACAGCATTGGCAACTGACAGTTTAAACTTTTGGAGGCTCATAACTTTCTCCTCAAGGGTTCCACGCATGATCAGCCGATGGACATTCACAACTTTGCGCTGACCCAACCTGTGTGCTCTGTCCATTGCCTGCATAAACATTACAAACAAATGAAACTAGTTAATTATAAAACAGGTTATAGGCTTTCCCGCCCTCCAAATTTAGTCATAACCAGCCATTGCTCAGACGATTTATGGGATGTCTGAAAATGAGCAAAAAGGAGCAGTTTTGTGAAAGTCTTGTAAATGACATCATATACCACAACATATATTCCATTTTTATAGACTAGCCCCACTTGTCACATTACATAATGAAAATGAATTCCTTAAATTTTCGATACATAAAGGGTGTAATATGATTTCCTAATCACAAAGGATAGGGGGTTTTAGGCTTAACAATGTTGGACAGTTTATGCCCTCGAAATCCACTAATTGCTGTAAACATATTTTATTATGAATAAAATTTATTTGTACAATCAGTGTCATGGGTACTGGTTTCTGTAAATGCACTTGATCTGCATTTTAGGATTGTGATCATTTACTGGTTTGAACCACTGACTTGGAAATATGACGATCAGTATACGGCTAAAATGTTTTAAACTAGTGGCTAGACCTAGGAACGCTTTGCCGAACAAGGTTGACATGCAAATACTACCTTGTGAGAAGGGGCAATATGTCTATTGTCGGAGTTGACTCTAGGTATGAGCATAGATGTTTGTGAATCATTGAACTGTACCCATTTCAGATGACTCCTACACTATGATTGGTAAAGTATCTGGTCGTTGTTTTAGATTTTATTGCATTTGACATAGCTAGCCAGTGATGTTTAATTGAGAGATATACATGGATGTCTTGGTACATTCATGAAAAAAATAAACAAGTGTTCATTGTGACAGGGCCTGCTATTTCATCATGTCTTCTATGATGGATTCCCCATAAATCCTTTCAACGGGTGATTTCGAAATGTTTTTTCACTTGGTTTGCAAATTATAAAAACTTATATATATATATATATATATATTAGTTAACAACTTGTTTGCAAAATGTTTTCCAAGGGACATCATGAAAAGGATAGGCACTAGATGTCTATAAGGAAATAAGTCCTTCCCTATCATTCCAAGTGTCAAAAATTGTGAGAAAAAGGACTATATTGATTGCTCGTAATACCTATTGGATACCATCTAGGTCAAACTAATGTTGTTAGGCCTGTGGGTGGCTAGGCCTGGCAAAACCTACCTCCAGATTAGGCTTGGGCCAAGTTGGACTCAATCCAATACTACGCAGCATGCTACACAGCATTGCATAATCACCTACTGCGAATAGCATTCTACTTGAACCTGATTACCACATTGGATGCTATCTTTAACTTGGATTATTTCCAAATTAGTTTGGATTTGTTCCTATTTGGCATTAAGCTGAGATTTGGGGGAAATCCCAATCCAAACCAATCACCACCCAGCATTGGATGCTATGTTATACAACCCGAAGTCACCGCGACAGAAGTAGGAGTGCAAATGGACCGGATTATGATCCAATCCGCATTCAAATCCAAAATCCAAATCCAAACCAATCACCACCCGGCATTGGATGCTATGTTATAAAACCCGAAGTCACCCCGACAGAAGTAGGAGTGCAAATGGACCAGATTATGATCCAATCCGAATTCAAATCCGTTCCAAATTTATTGGATTTGGATATCCCCTTGTCGGATTTTTGGATTCAATAATAGGAGCTGATAAAAAATTATGATCCAACTGTTCTTTCAACAAAATGAGTCACATCCATCCTAATTTCATTTTTCTCATTTTTCTTGAAGTAAATCTCTTCCAGTTCTTTAAAAGTTTTTCTCGCAAATTTTTTCTTCTCCTATGAATTGAAGCCCAAACACTTTGCTCACTTACACTTCAATATTCACAATCTTTTCCAGGTCAACTGTTCTTTCAACAAAATGAGTCACATCCATCCTAATTTCATTTTTCTCATTTTTCTTGAAGTAGCTTTTCCTTCCACAATTTCGCAGTCTGAACCTGCCTGGTTTGTCATTCAATGGCTTTGTCCCGTAGTTCCTTTTCCTTGTACACCCTAGGACCTGCCACACCCTACAACTGAACCGAACCTAGTTTATTGGAGATTAAACTACAGCACAAAGCCCTTGGCTGGCCAAGCAACCTACAACTGAACCGAACCAACCCGTGATCAATAGTTTAATCTCCAATAATTATTAAAAAATTAAATTTTTATAGCAAAAATACACAATAATTTAAATTTAAAAAGCTAAATAACAGTAGTTTAAACTCCAATAATTATTGAAAATTTTCTATTAGATAAAAAATAGATTTATACATAATTATTTAAAATATATTTATCACAAAAAACAATTAAAAATTACTGAAATTCAATAAATATTAATTTTAGTACAGATAAATATATAATAAATAAAGATTAAGTTTTTAAAATTATTATTAGTAAACAATAATTTTTTTGAAAGTTATTTTCTAGAATTATTAAGTGGTATAAATGATATTAGTTATTTACAATATTATTTATTTATTTAAATAATACCATTATTTAAATTTTAAAATATTAATTACTTGTTGAATTTAATAATCCATAAAATTATAGTACTATTAATACATAATTTTGTTATTTTAACTATTTAAAATCTAGTTATGCTAAATATTTCGTTATTTAAAAATATTTAGTTATTTAACTAAATATTTAAAATCTTAATCTATTTATTATAATTGAAAGTTATTCAGTAACTTTTTAAAATATATTATTAATTGATTTAAAACATTAATTTTAATATCTTGTTCTTTAAGATATTTAGTTATTGAAATATTTAAATAATATTTCATTTTTAATGTTAGATTTTTATTATTTGAATAACATTTAGATTGAATAATCCAGAAAATCATAATTTATATTGTTTGTACATAATTTCGTGATGAATCTTGTAAAAACATATAATTACTAATAATACGAATATTATTAAATCAATTATAATTATTTTTTCTTTTTAATAAATATTTTAAAGTTATTATATAATTTTGTTAGAATATTTAAATAATTCTTAACTTTTTTAATTTAAACTTTCTTTACTAGATGTAGATAAAAAGTGGGGGAGAAGATAAATAAGAATTAGAGATAAGTAAGGAGAGAAACTCTCTACTAAATTAGAGATAACTTAGGAGAAAGTTGAGGATAGTAGGGGAGGTTGTTTAGGAGAAATTTTAGGATATTGGAACATGGTGGAGAGTAGAATTTCTTAGTTTCGAAAATGACATGGATTAAAAAAATTAATAAATTCAAGAAAAGGAGAAAACCTGCCTATAAATCCAAGGCACATGGTGTCTAGTAATAGTCCAGGATACAACAAGTTTTCAGTCACCTTCAACTTCCAAATTCTTGAAGTTAGACTGCTTAGAAAAACCTAGACCTTTCAATAAAGCCATCAGCTTAGCCTTTAGTGAATCTCAACCACTATAGGTTCCAAAGATATAACCATCACCTTGCCTGAAGAGTCTCCGAAAAGGCAAAAATATCTCCCGTACCTTCCCTTCCTGGGTTTGCATGGAGAGCTCCCATCAAAATTTAGTTTTATTTTGTTACATGCTGAACATCTAAGGTTTTCATCACGTTGCCCTTAAGGACCTAAAGACCGTAATAACATAAGTCCTCACATACACACAAGTACTGCATAACAAACCTAAAAAGGAACTTTCCAAAAAGAAAAACCAACTTAGGAACCTATAAATGGAGGTCTCCCAAAGGAGGCCGGGTATGTAGGCAGCCCCTCCAAGGGCTGGCCAACTCTTTTCCCCTTTGCCCTCCTCCCTATGATCCAGACTGCCGTTCTCCTTAGACCTTCAGGGCTAGACCACCTCAGTGCTGAATTCCATAGACCCACACCTGGAGTTAGTGAGAAGATGATCTCTTTTATATCTACTCCTATGCTTAACAAGTTATTATTCATATGTATACCTCAATAGATGGTAGCGCAGTATTTGCACATTTCATATTGGTAGAACTTGTTAATCCAGAGGTAATACAATTTTAAGTGAAAAGGATAGGGAGAAAAAAGGAATATATGATTTGCAACCACATGTTACAGGACAAGCAGCATTTAGAAATTGCAAACTGACCCAAGGCAAAGAATAATACCTGGTGATCTCTCATTGGATTCCAATCATGTTCCATGAAAATAAGTGTATCAGCTGATGTCAAGTTCAAACCAAGCCCTCCAACTGCCAAAAGTAACATGTGAGCAATTGTTCTGAGTTGAATCAACTATTAAACAGTCAATATCTTACCATGTGTTGTCAGTAGGAGTACATCAATGGTGGGGTCTGAATTGAAGGCTTTCACAATTTCAAAACGCTTTTCTGGTTCAATAGAACCATCCAACCGCAAGTATGTGACACTGCTTCAATGGAAACCATTATTAGACACAGCAAGTGTTAGACATTAGAGATCTGTTTTACATTGCAAAATCAAGGATAAACATCATCCCATTATCAGTGACAATAATTTTAATGCTTAGGAAAACGGAGAATAGTTTTCTACAATGTTCAGAGAACCAGACCAGGCATAGAACCGGAGAAGGGAGAGGTTCACAGGTCAGAGGTTCGACCGGGGTCGAACCATGATGATGTGACATATACATATATATACTATGGGTCATATAAGTACTGTATGTAATATATTTTACAACTTTTAATGTACTTAAATATGGTGGATGGATGGTAAGCTTCTTAATTTTTAAAACAAATGACTAGGGTTCAAGCTTTTTAACTTGCATTTTTTTAAATACATGCATAATAATGTAATATGTATAATAAATAGTCATTAATTAGCACAAGTAAAGAGGTGGATTAGCGGTAATTAAGTAATCTGTGAAAATAAGAGGTCTTTGGTTCAAATCTTGTTAACAACATTTTAAAATTTCACTTATGTATGGACCTTGGCAGTTTCATAAAACTGGGACTGGTTCACCAGTTTTCCGGTTCAACTGGCCGGTCAGCCGGTTTTGAGCAAGTCCGGTTATTGGGGTATGACCAAACCGGTCAGGGTCCCAGGTCACAGTTCAACCGGTTCAACTGGCCGTCTGGTTTTCTAAACACTGGTTTTCTAGCCTATTATCATCAATGTTTACAAATAGTTTTTTTGAGCCACAAGCAATCAAATGGTTGATATATGATGCCATACAACCATGAGCCACATAATCAAGCGTGTGGCATTTCCACCCCACCCAATCTAAATGGAAATTGAGAATATCTCAGGGATATTCCACAAATCATGCAAAGTAGGAAAACAAGTAGAGGAGGTTTAGGTTAAGAATGGGAAATTAATGAAAAATTTTAACAGAAATTTAGAGAATGTGACCAATCAGGAATTGAAAACATTAAACACAAATAAGAAAATGCATATACCAATTAATTTAAAGAATGCGAACAACCAGGACCTGAAAAAAATCATGATTAAATAACGTCTGTTTTCTTTATAATGCTTGAGGTCCAACAGGTATACATACATGCAAACCAAATACTTGTATCCAGGTTCCTTCCCTCAACATAACAATAAATTTTTCCAATGGATGATGTAGTACAGGAAGGGGAGAGAAATAAGAAATGTAACCCCTCGCTAGTAGAGACAAGAGAGACAAGAAATGATAGAGAAACTGGAGCAAGCTCCGACAACCACAATTCCTTGAATCTTAAGACTGTTTGGTAAGAATGCAAAAAGCATATGCATCAATGTAAATGCAAATTCATCAAAAAGTAAGAATTGCAAACTTGGATTGGTTTTGCATTGATAAATTCTGTATTATGTTTGGTTGTGATACAAGTACAAATTTCAAGACCAGAAGCTTTTTACTTTAAGAGTAAAGAAATATTCATTAAAAGGCAAAAAAGATAGTACATAAGGAAAGTGATAAGGCATCATTCGAGAGAAGAAATAAAACCCCCAAAACAACCTCAGTACTATACCCTTACTTGGGCAATCACAACTTACAATCTCCTATACCCCCTAACACAAGAAACCCAGAAATCCTGCCCTCCTCTCAAGACCAGAATCTACCATTTAGATGGACCAACTTTGAGGGACAAAGTTGGCTTCTTTTTCTGGAAGCACATTTTTGCTCCCATTTTGAATGCAAAACGTCAAAAAATTACATTCATTTTCAGTACAAAGTCGTATTTGTACCAAATAAGTATAAAACCGAACTAGAGTACAAATTTGCTTCAGAACACAGCCAAACTTTCATTTATGAAATCAAGCCTATCACTTCAATTGCACTGGCTCTATTTATCAAATCAAGCCTATCATTTATCAAACTGGCTAACTTTAATAGAACCCTGTTTCAACTAGGAAACTGACCAAAAACAACTTCTGACTGCTTGAGAACAAAGGCAAACCCTTGGGTAATTCATAAACACCTAAATAAATACTTAAACTTTTAAAATAACTTTAAATACCCACTACATATTCTAATTAAACTAAACAAACCAAAAGCAACTCCAACATAAATCAAGAAAATGGGAAGATACAAATTCCATTATTGACTAGCACCTTATCACTACAATCGCCTAAATACTATCAAGACATGTTGAATTTATAAGATCTTGGTCACTATGCACAGATAACAACCTACCTAACAATACCAACCAAAACTGGAAATAGGCTGACAGAAAGGCGACCTGATTGCATCTTTACCTTTTCTAAATTCTGAAACCACTCCAATAAGACTACTTAAACTAATTTGATACTCCAAGATAATAAATATGGAGTCTCTTTACTTGCTTCAACTTATGAATCACCAACTTATCAGATTATAAGTCATCACTGTGGATATGCTATATCAATAAATCCAATTGCACTCTCATATAATTTAAAAGTTATTATACAATTTAATTTATAAATTATACAGATCAATATTATACATGTTGTATATGTAAAGGCATGCAACCAAATTCTCAAATAGAATAAATCCACTACCGTACAATTTATCCTAAATTACTCCCACCTCAACCCAAATCAATATTCCAACTATATGGGGTCAGCTAGATGAATCATGCATTGACAATATTCTAGGTAACAGTAGCACCCAGTTACCAAGCCAACACTAATGCCTTTCACTTGCACATACCAAATTGAGATATTTGCTAATATATCAAAACTTTCTAGCATTGGGGAAATATCAAGAGATATTTTAGAATTTTCAATTCCAGCCTTTTCCAGAGATTTGTGTTTTGATGATTGAAAAAAGGAAAAATGCATGCAGAAATTCCACTATGATTTGGTGAAATTGCAAATTTCCCAAAAAGCAGAAAAGACAAAGCCTGCTTGCATAACACCAAGAATCCTCCCAAAACCTCACTTTTTCTCAATTGCACACTTGGAATTTGTAACTTGTGGCCATAGTGTCCTATAAAATAATTCCTCTGGCTTGACTAGATGATTTCACATTTTGCATTGCTGCATGCACGATCTTGTCTACATGTTTTGGCTCAACCAGACAATTGCACTGTATTCAATTTCTCCAAATCTCAATCAAAGGTAAAAAAAAAAAAGGAATTACAGGACAAGTGCCAAATATATACAAACAGCACGCAATTCCTACAAGCCTCAAGAACAAGAGAAGCATTGATCCAGTAGCTACTTTTCTTCAATAACCAAATAGTATGAACATTAAAGAATTTATTGCAAGGCAAATACAGAGGATATAAAGTTATACACCTTAGTTAAAGCCATTCTCAATTTGGAGGGGGAGGAAGAGGGAAGAGGAAGTGGAAGAGAGTAAATACAGAATAATAATATGTTCAATATAAGAAAACAATGGACTGAAACCGTGGAATATAAAGTATTGACAGAGAAGATTATTTCTAACAGGATTAGTCACCAAGAGAAGAGAATTAGAAAATATATGCATGTTTACATGCAATTACCGAATGCACAAAGTTAAGCAATAAAAAATATACCTTTTCATATGAGTTTGAAATAAGTCCCTTTCAATTATGTCCAACAAACCCTGCATGCAGTGATCATTTAAGAAGGGGATGATAGAATGACCACAACATAAAACAGCATAAAAATCTAAACCAAACATCAAAGAGAAATGATACTTTGTGCTGAGCAAATATCAAAACTCTGTGCTGTCCAACACCAACGGCACCTTCAGAATTGGAAGCATCAATACCTATACCACATTCTTCCAGTATTTCTTGAAGAGCAACTAACTTAGGAGAGTGGTGCAATTCACGAAGGGCTGAGATAAAGTCAGAACTCTCAGGCATGAGTTCAGACAGAAAACTTGTCAGGGAATCTGGAAGCCTTTCACCAATGACAAGCAACGGGTGACTACATAGCTTTAGAAGGTATTGAAGTGCCTGTAATGTAAAATTAGGAGTGAGTACAGTTAGTTATAAAGTGATAAAATAAAATGCACTGGTAATAATTGAATTGCCACTAAACCTGGAAGACATGTGATGATGCTCCCCGTGAAAGGCTATTTCCTTCTGTATCGTGTGAGCTGTTTAGTTTTACAATAGATGACATTTCCTTTTTCACATCTGAACCAGAGAACTGTTCATATAGTTTTATCTGGATAGGGCTCAGGTCACAGTACCGATCCTGGATAATTTTCTCTGGTAGATCAGACAAAACCTCATCTTTTGTTCGACGGAGCAGGAATGGCATGACCTATCATGTAAAGGAAACCATGAGTTGACAATTGGACAAAATTGCAAAATCTCTTCTTGACTATCAAATGCTCATACGACAAGGAAAAAACCTGCTTATGTAATGCTTCCATAGCAAGGGCACCTGCTTCAGCATCCTTAGCAGAACATTTAGAATCTCTAGCTGCTAGCAATGGTTTCCCGTAAGTTGCTTGGAACTGAAGAAATAACACCAAGTTAGATGATTTTTATCGACAAACATTCAATACATTATAAAAACAGTCAGAACATCCACCAGCCATGATGGAAGAGAATATGTCAAAATCATCTAAACTGATTTTCTTACTTAGCAACCTTATCTGCTGCTCTATTCCCATGGCGAATATAGATCACACACAGATTAAAAAGAACATCCACCAATGTTTGACACTTCAAGGGCATAGAAAAGAAAATCTAAAGGAAAGAAAGATCCAAAGACTCACAACCTATGTTCATTGTAGTAAGCCCAAACAGCTATCCATTCATATAACAAACAGAAAAGGCAATAAAGTAGTTAACTGGTCACATAAGGCTTTCATCAATCCTTGACAAGACCAGAATGCTAAGACAAAGATGAAGGTGAAGACATTTCATAATTCATATAAACAATGTAACTTCTGGCTAGTAGATGCAGACAATTTTTTTTTTTGATAGGAAACGGTAACTTTCATTAGATAAAACCATAAGAAACAACTGTCACCTTCCAAAGTAAAAGGTGACCCCTGAATAACAAAAA